GCCGTCACTATTCACCCAACGGACACAGGCATTTAGAAAATTAGTGAAGATGATCCTTCATTTGTCAGTTTTTTGCCCTGACTGTCTTGAACTGACCGTTCCTAGAGCTTCAAGTATCTCGAACATAAACCGATATATGATGTACTCGGATGCCCAATTCTCCAAGCCGAAGAGAAGGATCTAGTCACGATATCTATTTCCTTAGCGTACTAGCCAAAGGGAAATTGAACGAAGGTTGATGACCGCCCTCGAATCAGACAACTTCAGTGAATCGGCGCGAGCATGGAACGAAGAGGGGAGTTTGGTCGTTCGGGAAGTTCTGGAGCAGCATTTGATACCCGTTGGCGCAAAATGGACCAGAGAACATCTGCGCGATGAGGTTGAAGATGCTCTTGCTCAGGATGAACTACGAAAGGCTCGTCTTGTCCCCCTTCCTCGACGCATGTGCTGACTAACTTTCAACCATAGCGAGTGGATATCACCCCAGTAATTGTTACCGGCATGAAAGAAGATCGACCCTCAGTTTTGGCCATCTCTTGGGCCAAAGGCGACCCGCATAGGAACGTCATTACCGTTGTCTATCTCGATCCACGCGGCTGCATGCAAGAACAACAGACCCAACTGGACAATCTCACCTTCGGCAAGTTCCGGCGACGAATTCGATCGACCTTCTCCACAGCGCCAACCAGATGTTATTGGCATCAGCGGGTTCAATATGACGACCGTTGAATTGATGATGAAGGTCAAGGAAATTGTACATGAGCTCTCGACCGAGGCCAAGCGACGACGACGAGACCGAGAAAGCTGAGTCCGGGAGAAGACGGGCGGGACAGGCCTCGTCTGATGCAAAACGATTCGAAAACGCCATGATCGTATTTGCTCTCCAGGCCACGGGGTGCGTCCCGCCACAGACGATATTTGTCCCTTCAGTGTAAAGCTTCCCCATGGGTACTGGTGCAGCGATGACGGTCAAAGCCTTCTTGTCTTGTGCAAGCCAGTCTTCGGCGTTCTTCTTCGCAAGGTTAACTGTCTTCGTTGCCTTTCATGGTGACAGCCACTTGTACACCATTCGGATCCAGCCCAGTATGCGTTTGACTTGGGAAGGGTGCAGGAATATTAGGGGATGAGCACTCGTCGCCATCGATATACTCCCAATAACCTGCGGCGTCTAGCTTACGTCTTGACTTTGTATTAGTTGTTGCTGCCGTCGTCTTTGCCCACTATCTCCGTAAGCCTTATGTCCATTCTTTCTCAGAGTTGGCTGATGCCATTGAGAACAAGTGTTGGTACGGAAATGTCTTGAAAGCGGCAATCGGATGGGTAGCGTAAGTTGGCAAGAGAAACAATAGGTTTGGAGTCGGTTGTTTAGGGGCGTTCTGTGCGTGTAGCCAACATGAACTGCGGAAACACGCAGTACGATGTGTGACATTCTTGCTCTTTGCCACCATGGCGAGTCTTACAGCAAATTTTGGGCACGTCGAACAACTTGAAGAGATTTTGCCTGATGACTCCATATCCGAGTCCGTTGCCGGGCGGCCAAAACGCTCATGAACGTCAATCGCCGCCTGACTCCGAGTCCGAAAATTGCGACGAACTGATAAACAGCACGCACAGCGATACACAATACACATCTCCGGATCTTTCTGAGCAACGCCTTACAGCTGACGTCGACTGGGGTATCACTAACGTATCAACTGATGACAACATGGAAGGGCTCGAAAAAAAAAAAAAAAAAAGCAGGGTGTTGCAGCGTCAGTAACCCCCAAGAACCATACAAACAGCTGAATTGCTCCTTTAGCGTGATTGCTAGTGGGGAGGAACAGGTTACACTGGCAATCGCCAAACAAGTTAGATCGAACCGGGCAGAAATTCGCCTTGCCGTCCGTGCAGGTGCCTCACAGAGTGCCGTTGCACGACATCTCAAAAGCAGTTCCGCCACGATCTCCCAAATAGTACGCAACACCGGCAGCAAAGTCGTCAAGGACGATGTTACAAAAGATGTCGACTTCGCTGACCAAGACAAATTAAAGAAGTTGATCCAAGCCGCTATGTTGGACCGCCCAGCTGTGACGACGAAACGTGTGAATGCCCACAAATAAACAAACATCAGATATCATACTTACTTGCGATGACAGTCTACAAAAAAAGCAGTCAAGGGCGCTCCGAGTCCTCCACCAGCCGCTGAACGCAAACCCGTCCGCTCCAGCGCCAGAAGACTAGATGCGCCGAAACTCACTGCGATGGGTGGCAAGAGATACTCCGCGCGTCAAATCACCAAAATAGCTATGCCACTCCACTCCGCCCACATCCGAGTCACCCCCGCCAGATATACACCTTCTGCGGCCCCCATTGCACAAATCAGCAATACCGCGGTAGGAACTATGGGGAGCGTCTCTCGTATTAGTAGTGAAGTGCCGCGGACGGATTGTGCACGCGGGAGTGAAGGTTTCATGCCACGTTCCGATTATCACTGGCAGGCATTGCCTCCAAGCCCCCAACACGCAACCACTTCAGCAGAGGGCGATGACTGCTCGGATCTGGAGGCGTTTCTCTTTAAAATCGACGAGACACACGTATACGACGATTTTCTTCCGTTGTTCTTCCACAACGACATCACTAAGGTTGCAGATTTCTATCACTTGGGACAGATCCCTCGACGCTCTACAATAAAGTCGATCGTCTCTTTCACAAACCCAGCACCCGCAGTACATATTGTGGAGACTTCATGAAGAGACCGCGATTAGCTCAATTGGTCGAGGCCTTGTTGCAACTCTTTGAGCAGTACAAGACTGCAGATGAGTGGAAGGCCGCACAATAAATGAGAATGGGAGAATGGGACGAAGCCATATAGCAATTTCCTAGTGCTCTTACTTTGTAACATAGAAGTCGCAAAGGTGCCGTATACATTGAATTCTCTGCGCACTGATGTGAATATCAGTATCGGATCACTCTATCTCCTTGGCCAGGGGAGAGAAGTGCTTTGAAAACCTCACTGCAGGAGTGCAAATAAACAGGGCCCAATTTGATCAATTATATTGTGAGCCATTCCAGAAGATTCCGCTGGTGCGCGAATCCAGAGGGGAGTTGATTGCGGCGGCCCGTTGGCCGGTAATTACGTGGCTGATTGCCGCTTCCGGGGCACCTTTTCCAGCATGGTACATCAACGCGTCCATGACGGACGACTGAGACGGCATCCCATTGCCTTTGGCAGACGGTGCATGCATAGCTCATGAGCTCGGTAGCTCGGTGATACGTGCTCGCCCTGGGCGCGGCCTGTCGGCCGGAGGTTTTTTTTGTTTGTTTGTTCCGAATTATCAGACCTGCTCGGCCGATACGCCGAATTTTCAGATATCGATAAGGGTAACCAAATCCAAGGAAATTGTTTGAAGCAGACAAAACGGCTACGGCGTGGTACGGCCAGGTGCGCACAAGACCTCAAATCAAGTGGGACCGCCGCGTCACACGTCACACGTGACCGCTTCTTCTTCTTCTTTCAGGTGTTTTGTTTCTGGCATCATAGATAGCTCGAGTGAGCGACTCGATGTCCTTGGCTTTGTACTGGAACTTGAAGAATGGCCGTGGCTCATCCGGCCAATGGTAGTGGTTCACCCTACCCTTCTTCCAGTCCGGTGAATGGCGATGGTTTGAAGTGAGTATCTTCACACTTTTTTGTAAAGACACTTTAATTCCTTTTAACATGTCAGAAAACTCGAATCCGGTGGTCATAATTGGGCTCCCCTGTGGTTCGTTGTGGTTGCAGAACTGGACCTCTTTCAAAACCAACGCCGTGCGTCTCTCGCGATGTCCTTGGATCATCCGGCCCCTGGCAGTGGTTCGTACGCTCGCTGCAGCACCAGGTCAACGTTGCTGACAGAAGGAAAAAGTCTTTCCGCTAGACCATCCTTCGCTATCAGCGAACAAATCCTGAATCTCAAACGTTAACTAAATCACTCGGCTCCAACACCTTAGGCAACCACGGGATGTCCTTGTCTTTGGCCTGGAAGGATGGCTGTGGTTCATCCGGCCAATGGTAGTGGTGCACCCCATCCTTCTTCCAGTCCGGTGGATGGTGATGGTTTTCTTGGCGGGTGAGTATCCTCACGCTGTTTGGTAACGACTTTTCCTTAACAATGCCCTCTTAGTTTGTCAGAAAGCTCGAATACGGCCCCCTGCATCTCTCTCCATCCTTGCCGCTACTGTGGCTCACCCATTTTAGAACGACCGTTCCCTGAAAATCGTCCGACTAGTTCGTCAGAAAACTCAAATCCGGTCAACACTGCGTCTCTCTCGATATCCTTGTTTCGGAGAAGCGGCTGTGGTTCATCCAGCCGCTGGCAGTCATTCTGCCCAGTCTGGGTAAACGCTGCTTCCGTGAGGAAACAGTTTTCCTGCTGAACCATCCGTCACGAAATTGTTAGCCAACATACCGTGTATCTCAACAAATAACTGCGGCTCACTAATTGCGAAAATACCAACAACGTTACCATAGAAAGCATTAGAATTCGAGTGTCCGCCGCCACAGCTTCATTCACAAACGTCACTGGTATCCATATGGACCGCTTCCAACGTCAAATAATCTTGACCTCCCCTTTTTTCGAGCGTCAGCCACCTTAATCCATCGGTGCCTCGGGCATGTATCGAGGCAAACAGATGATGAAACCCGCCTCCGCCACAATCAAGTTTTTGGTCAATGTAGCGTAACGCGGACACGAAAAATAGGGAAGCATTGCCAAACCAAACGGCTCCAAAAGAGTCGGGAGTAGCCGGCAAAATCATCATCTTAACTTGAAACAACACACTCAACTGGGAATCTAATTACGGCTTTCTACCGCTTGGGGCCTTAAGTATCATGTGTAAGAAGGGAGGGCAATATTACCGCGTTACAACCGTGACCCCTCTTGCTTCCTTTGATTTATCTTTCAGAACTTGAATCGTTGCTGATCGTTGCTGTTCGAAGTTCCCCAGGCTTCTGGCGACCGCACTGGTACATTTTGCCCTCCATGGACGAATATCGACGCCATAATCTTCGCGCTGCGTACGAGGCGCTTGAAGAAATGGTTCTCGATGTCCTTCGGATACAGCGTAGAGACCACAGCCAATTGCAGAATAAGCGAAGGGAATGTCTTGAATTTCTGCATTCTGCTCACCAAGTAAGTCAGCATCCAAGTTTCGGTGGTCGTCATTGACTTTTAAAGCACCAACAGGTGTTTTCAAATGATGAGTTTTTGCGTCTCTGCCAAAACGTTCACCTTATGCTGGATGATCTGGAGAAAGCTGGGCAGACCGAACCTGAAACTCATCGGCCCGCCCTCAAAGTAGTGCAGCTAGGCGCTTCTACGGTTCGAGGGGGTCGACGACCAATTGTTATCGATGAAGATTTCCTTGCGCAGGCAGTTCGGTTGAGAGGACCTTCGCAAATAGCCAAGGCTTTGGGGTGCTCCGCTCGAACGATACGCCGTAGGATTTTGGAACTACAATTGGCTCCTGCGGGCCCTGCCGTATTTCAAGTCCGGTCTCGTCCCGACGGGTGGGAAGAACTTGAACGGAACAATCAATGCGGGCGATCAACCCATCAGACTGAGATATCGGATGAAGACTTGGATTCATTGACGTTTGCTATTCTCCAGCTTTTCCCCCGTGCTGGAAGAAGTATGACGATGGGTCAACTTGCGAGCCAGGGTGTTCGGGTATCCCGTACCAGGTTACGTTCATCGCTCCTCAGAGTACGAGGGGCCCCGCTATCATTTGGTCAACGTCGAATTGCCCGAAAGAAATACTGGGTACCGGCGGTCAATTCTTTATGGCACCATGATGGCCAGCATGGTATATCCGAACCAAGTTGAATCCATCCCCACTTGACGCGATTTCAGGTCTAATACGATGGAAACTGGTTACTCATGCGTTCATCGACGGCAAATCTCGGTTCGTGACTGGCTTGGGCGTTCACAACAATAACCGGGCACATACTGTGCTTTCTTTATTCCTGGCTGCAGCTACTCAATTTGGTGTGCCGAGTCGCGTTCGAGGGGATCATGGCGTAGAGAATGTCAAGGTAGCTGAAGCAATGGAAGAAATCCGTGGCCCAGGCAGGGGGTCATATATTTTCGGCCGGTGCTGGAACAACTGCCTCCATATCCTCTCTTGATTAACGTCCATATAGGAGCATCCATAATACTCGAATAGAACGCCTCTGGCTGGACTGGACACAGGGATTGGGGCTCAAATGGTATGACTTTTTTATGGCCCTAGAGCAATACTACGAGCTAGACGTCGATGATGACGTCCATATTTGGCTGCTCCATCATCTTTTCCTACGCGCACTCAATGAAGAAGCTCAAGATTGGGTGAACACCTGGAACTTTCACATACTGCAAATTCGCGGTGAACCTAATCGGTCACCAGCAGATATCTTCTTCTTCAATCAAATAGAGGAGGGAGTTTACGGTCTTCCACTGGCTGATTTGGCTGACTACGGGGTGGACCACGGGGCTCTACGGAATGAGGAAGTGATGTCGAACTTCTTCGCTAACAACGAGCAGGAGCGTTTAGAAATCCCAGAAAACATGAACACTGTGATCTGCGAGTCCCCAGAGTGTCCCTTACTTCCAGTGCAAGTGCTGACGCTGGACGAACAACTAGAAGCTGCTCAAATGGACGCGCAGTGTGATTAAATATGGACGCTCGGAAATTGATATGGCAGGAAGCTCTAGCGATCATCAGAGAGTTTCTGTAGTGCAAATAACGGAGTCAGAATAGATGGGTAGTAGGTCACGGTTATACAAGTGAAACACGTGAAACCGGGTGTGAGTGGGAAACTTGGAAAGACCAAAACAGGGGATAGGTGGTGGGAAAGAGATATATAGCACTCACTCACACACACAACAACCACAAACAACTTGAAACCCCAACCAATTATCCCAATGCAGCACTTAGGTATTGGCAAGACTATCGTATTCGCGTGCGTGTTCGGGGGCTCCTATCAATAGTGAAGTATACAGTAGTTTCAGCCTGAGTCCAACAGAGTCGATAGTGTTGTATTTAGTTTGATTTTAACGATGTAGATGGTGTCCGAGCGGCATCGGGGGAACGAATAGGCCCTCGAATATATTTGTCGCAATACAGTTTCGGTCCGACGGCGTTATCGGCCTTCGATTGACAGACGGCGTCTGTCAACGATCGTATTCGGGCCGTATCGATTCCGTTTCCGTGTTCTCGTCGTCGTAGTCTTAGTCTGAAGCCCCTACCCTTTGGTAGAATGCAATCCAGGTGGGATTCACCGCTCATGTAGGTACAAATGAGCCCCAATATACTTTTGGCCATGGCCCGTCACTCCGTCACAGCGATAATAGTAGTAGTACCGTGATGACGTTCTATTTCGAGACAAAACTTCATTGGTGGGGATGCCTAATAGGTGGTGACTCTGGTGAGCCGAGTAGCTTGGAACAAACAAGGAAAAGCCCGCAACCGAAGGGCCGCGCCCATGCATGCGCCGCCATGGAAAAGGCCTGAGCGATCTGCCGCGGCGCCGAAATCGGACCGTGACCTCTGGCCATCACTGGTCAAAACACAGCTTTCCGACACTTGTCACCGCGTGTTTCGCAACCCACGCCTCGCTGCTCGCTTCCCTTCGGCCACTCCAGGAGCTTACTGCTCCCCAACCGGAACGGATACCCGACTTTCTTGATGCCAATTCTGGCATTCCTGCAGCAGCCAGCGATGCAAGAGCTGTTGGTCGTCGATCAACACAGGAAATAGCCAAGTGTTTGATGCACTAGTCAACTCGATTGAACGCGCACACACACTCTCCCCGCCCTGGCTCAACTCGATTCGAATTGACCACGTTGTAACGTCATCAGACATAGCTTGACTGGGCTTCGGGACTCTTGGAAGAGCGGCTGTGGCCCGTGGGTCATCCGGCTGGCAGTGATCTGCGGTCCGTCCACCCCACTTTCTAGCATAACGTTTTTCGTTTGCCTGTGCGTATATCTCGACCGTTTCTGAATCTGGATTATTCTAAATCTCGTGCAACTTCCCTTTCACTCGAAATATAGGCCGCTACTCTCGGTATTCCCCAATTGGAAGAACGACTGTGGTGGTTCACCCCTCTTCCACTACCAGTAGGCAGCGTCAGAACACTCGAAGTAAAACTACGCTTGATCCTGTTTTATCCCCTTGCTCATCGCTTATATTATAGTGGCGGAAAACGGTCTGACTGAAGTTATCTGGCTCCCCAGAGTCCAGAGTCCAGACTCCGGCCAGTGTGGGTCATATATACGTCTTTGGGCGGCTCGACCAACTCGCCTCGCTGCACAACAAGGTCTTGTTCCTTTCGGTCGCCGCTCAATTTTACTACTGTTCCAGCTGTCCTCTGTCTCACATAACCATCTCCTTCAAATACTGGTGTTGATGCCATACCGCCGGTGTTCTGTGTTCCAACGCATTTACTCTGCAAGTCAGTAAGTTCACGATGCTTTCTAGGAACTGCAAAATCTGACTGTTGCGTTAGCAATCTTAGTTAGTGGTCTGCCGGGCCGGGCCTGGGAAATCCCAAGGCCCAACTGTTGTAGCCATGCCGGGCCTGTCAAGGGCCTCGGGCTCGGGCAGCCCGGCCCGTCAGACCACTAACCTTAGTGGAATGTTTCCTACCCGCTCCAACACACATTTCGTACACCCATTAACGACAGTTCTGTCTCCTGAATCACCTTTCCAAACGATACGAGCTGTCAGACCCCTGCAAGTGCAAATTGGTCGTCGACCCAAGTATCAGGCTGGAACCCATCCTCGACAAGATCACTCTAAGTATTGAGCCAGTGTCTCAGTGGCGTCGCCATGTCAAAACGCTCGCCTCCACATTGACGTGAACCCCCCGGTTTTATCCTTCCCATGCACTTCCTCCTCTGAAGGTGAAGCAGGTGTATTGGTTACCGGCAAGTCTTGTTCGAGATATTTACCATATGGTGATGGATGTATCAGAGTTAAGTCCTCAGTTAACGATGATACTTTCGACACTGAATTCCTAGTCCTATGAATCAACGACACAAGCTCAGGAAAAACTAGACGATCGCTTGGTCGCATGCTCTGTGATTTTGCTTATCGACGCCCCTCGATTTGAGATGCTCTTGGTTTGGCTTGCAGAACAGTATACTGTTGATAGCTTAGTCTCACTCAAGGGAGCCAAGATTCCTGCTTCGCCACGTTGAAGAGGTCGGGGCGGAGACGATGGTTCGATATGACACCCCCCCATCTGTAGTTCGTAGCCCAATGTCCAAGACACGATGTTGTCGCTGCTGTCACTGAGCGTACATGTCTCGCCCCCATTTGGGATGTTACGTTATCGGTTGCCTGTTAGGCTGTTTTACATGCTCACCTCCGCATATGGTGGTCTTGCTCCTTCACGCTTCAAGTTGATACAGCGCCTGCCAGAACAGGCAACCTTTGAGCATGGCGACACGCCTTTTAAATGACTAAAAGAGGTTTTTCCCGCCGAAACTACCCATTGGCCCAATGCCTCATACATCGCCAGGCCCTGCGACCGCTCTCTCGACCACCTCGCGAGATTCAAACTTTAGCTTGCTCAGCTACGAAGTCTTTTTGCATATCTTCATGTTTGTCCTGCAACCGATCGGATGGAGAGAAGATGCGCAAGAACGAGGCAATCTACGGCGTGTCAGTCGAGCGTGGAAGAACGAATTGGACAACAGTCCTACTCTTTGGGCTCGTCTCCACATATGCTCCGCGTTTGGTCCAACTTACCTCCATCACCTTTTCGCTCATGCGAGGGGCTCGCCCAAAACCATCGTCCTCACACTGCGTCAATATTACTCCACTCCAACAGAACAGCGACCACCGTCTCACTTTAAATTGATGGAGGGGCACCCCAAGTTCATGTCCAGTATCAGCAGCCTTCTTGCGGCAAACGCGTCTGTCGAAAAGCTCGCTGTTACAATCGACAGTAGCGTAATTTGGGAATCCTTCGTCCAAGCGATCGGAACAGAGATCAAATTTACCAGCCTCGAAGTCCTTGCACTCGCGTCCGTTGAGGATAGCGAGGACCACCTCGATATTCTTCCTCTTCATGGAGTGACATCGGCACTGCGGGAGCTCGTTCTCGAAGACGTACCCCATCACTATGTTGCCGGAGTATCGTACCATCATCTCACTACCCTTGCCCTGAGTGGCTTGGTCGAACATCCCGGCCCAGAAAAATGCAACCTCGGCAACAATCTTCTGGATGTTCTCTCCGAATGCCCGCAATTGTCTTCCTTGCACCTCACTGGCGCGGACTGTGTGCAAGATGCAAAAACGCAACTTTCCACTGTTGTCCTTCCCCAACTGCTTTACCTCGCATATTCATGCAAGTGCTGGATTCGGGCAACCACATTTGTGGCCAAGTTGTTGCTGCCATTGACGCTCCAAACCTCCAATATATGGCCCTCCATATCGGCCATCAGGATGGCGCCGCCATTTTCGCCGCTCAACAGCTCTAAGCTTAGGCAGATTCGGGTCTTGCATTTATCAGGCCACTGGTACCATTATGGACCCACGCAAGGTATCATGTTTACCGGTACTCTCAAAGCCGTTACTGAGGTCGACATTACGCATCTCCAACGAGACCCCATTCCGGAAGTAAGCGAGGACACCGAGCGTTTCCACGACTTCGTTGCGCTCCTTCTAATGCTGCCAAAACTCGAAGTCTTGCGGTTGCCCTACCAGAGAAGGATCTTCTTTAACCACGACGTGCAACAAATGAAGGAAACGATGGGCGTGATTTCTAGAGAAATTGGTCGCCGGTACACCGTTTCCCTCACGCAAACTGATAGTCAATGCAACATGCGGGAGAACTTCACTTGTCCGAACGCCTTTCTCGGCGCATCATTCGCTTCGACGTTTACGTTTCATGCATTGCCGTGCACTCCCGTCTGTAAATGGGTCGTCGAGTGCAGAACAGATGCCCAGTAGTCAAGTTCAGACACACTAGCGGCGGACACTGCAATTGTTGGGAGGTATGATGTTATTTGTTTACAAGTATTTGCAAAAACCGTTTTGCTTGAGACTTTGAAATGCAGCTCTAGGCAGAGAGCTACTTATTAATAATAAGATCCATGGTTTTGCTCGCCTATGAAGCCGAGGCGAGCCACGAGAAGAAAGCGAAGGTGCCGGCGGAATGACGGATTCCCCATTTCCTTGATGGATGTAAGTGGGCTAACGTGTGAGAGAGGAAGATATCGGCATACCTGAGCTATAATTGCTGTTAGATCATTTGTAGAATACACATGCGCCAGCTTTCCCGCGTACCGAATGCTCTGGACTCCACAGAGTGGCTGCAAAGCCTTGTCGATATCGTCCATCACACGATAGGTCTTTAATCCTAGTGAAAGCATGTCCCAGTGGATTGCCGCGTTCTGGTTTTTTTTCGAGAACGAGCAACGAGGAATATGGCGAAGGACGTCAAGAACACAAGTCTATTTCAGGTGAGTTTTGTTGAAAAAAAGATGTAGAAGCTGACCTCTTTGTCGGGCCAAGGAAACCACTTGCATATCTAAATTAACTCTGCGAGTCTTGCGAGTTGTAGCAGAGGTACTTCTGTTCAGCTTATTAGGAATGAAAAACAGACAGAGGAAAAGGACCAGCCATCCGATGCCGCTGATCATTCTGAATCACTTCTCTCGAC